CGTGAAGTACTGCCCTAGAGGTGCCTTTCATCCCTGCAGGGTGATGGCCACCAATTGGGATAGTGGACAGTGGAAACGGATCACCAGAGTAGATAGGCGTGTCCAGTAGCACATCTTTTGGACGTTGGGTAAGGGGAAAGTCAGCTTTTGGGACGAGTGATGGTTTGGTGAGGGCCCTTTTCGATCTCTAGGCAGGTCACTCACTCCCCTTCCCTGCGGGCGAAAGATTTGTGGACTAATGGGATGTGGGATATGGAACAGTTAGAGAGGGTTTTTTTGGGTACTCGAGCGGGCCTTAATAAACACCTTTTAGAGCAGATCCAGCAGATTCCCATTGCGGGAGACGTTCTGGATGGTATGAGGTGGAGATTTACATCTTCAGGTGCTTTCTCGACGTCCTCGGCTTAGGGGAAAGTACTATAAGGTGACTGGCCTAACCTTCTCTTTAAGGCCATTTAAAGCGACCTCCTTACCCCGACGACCTCTACCATCCTTTGATGCCTTCTTTTGCTCAGGATTCTGATTGACTTTGTGGTGCATGTGAGGGGGGGTTCTTTCCCATCTCGGTGTTACTATTGTATCGAGACTGGTGATTTTCAGACTAAGACCTTTTCTTATTTGTTTTTAGTGAGCGATGTTGGGAGGAAAGTGTGGGAGCATTTGGCCACTAATACTCACATACCCCTTCCTACTACAGATAGTTTCTTTGTGCTCTTGAATTTTTTCTCAAAGCGGACACACTTTAGACACGTGGACTTCCTCATTTCTTGACAACCCTGTATTTCATCTAGACAGAGAGGAATAGTGCGAAGCATCGGGATATTACTTTTATGAGCTCTCACATTGTTTTGCAGGTGGATCGACATCTCTCCCTCCTCACAGCTCTTACAGACTCATGCCTAGATAATGGACATGTTGTATGCCGCCCCACCATCTCATGCTGGCGCCACTGTCGTCTGTCCAGTACCCACGACCCAGAGCCACTGTTTGGCTGAGACCCGGCTCACCTTGGGTTAAGCTGAACATTAATGGATCCTTCGATCCACTCGTCGGACCCGTCAAAAGCGATTAGGGATCACACCGGAGCACTCATTTTTGCCTTTCATGCCCCTCTTCAGGCCTTTTATGTTAGGATATGCCTTGAAAGCTTGGCTTTCAGATTTAGACAATTCCATTTTAATCTGGCCTTCATGTTCTACTCAAAGTACTTATGTTTGCAAGTTTATTTATTTATGCAATCCTAACTCTTTCATCTTATATTGTAGATAGTATAGTTCGTTGTGTCGTACAGACATATCATACTATCAGTTATTTGTAAGATGAATTATTTGTTCACAGTCTAGACAGACATTGAAACCGCTATTGGAAAAAAAGGTTGTAGTGTAGTTTTGAATTAGTTGATCTTTGACTAATGAATTATACTAGTACTTGTGATAATATTGAACGAATCGCGGAAGGATAAGATTATAAGATTTACTGATCGTAGTTGTAATCTAGACATTCAGTAATTGATGCGTACTCTTAAGACGTAATGTAATAAATAGCATATATTTTCATTACTGTTTTATTTGATTTAACGAAGGGTAATTCCTTATTTTTTTAGTATGACATACTCGGTATTTTAGTAAACGATAATGTTTATATGATGTGATGTTTTAATTAATTACGGACACTATGTCCCAGTGCGCTGGGCTGATGACGTCCTCGAAATGAACTCAGAATAAATATTATGTCAAGACCTGCAGGCGAATGATTTTTCGACATAATGATTAAGGAACTGAATGTTACTAATTTCAGAATAAAAAGAAGTTGATTAATTTTATTTTGTCAGTGCTTTAATAATCAACGACCTTAATATCTTAAACATAGAGATGATAAATCGAACAATTAGATTAATATTTATTAATCAAGTGGAGGTTCGAATTTATTGAATAAATTGGAAAAAAATGGAGAGAGTAATAATGTTACTCTAGTGGAATGTTTTATTACTTAATTTATTTAGGAGATATAAATTAATTATTCTCTATTTATTTAATTCCCTTGGAAGAGGCATATTCCTTCTAGAATATTTCTCAAGGTTAGGAGATTAAAGAGTCTTCTAGAAAGGGGAATTAGGGTTAGAAGGAATAAGGTTCTAGAAGGGTAAGGATATGGAGGACAATTAGGATTCCTAACCCTAGTTGAATAAGTTCATCTTTAACACCTCATTAAGGTCCTTAATGTAGTCTATAAATACATCATATCCCAGTCTCTCCTCATATGCATGTGGTGGTCGATTTTAAGGTTCCAAAAGGTAAAGGAAAATCGAGTTCATCATATATTGAGAGTTCGGGAGTACCAATTAATCGAACCACCAAGATTATTCGAAGCAGGTGTTAAGGTAATACATTAGAAGGATTTTAGGTACAATTTTGTAACGCCCCACATTTATTTGACGAAAGTCAAGGACTTTTCAAAGGTCAACGAAAATTTTTCGAAACTCTTTTCATAAATCGTTTGGTGTTACTCAACATAAAATCAACAATTCCGAACTTTCACATATCAATTACTCGCAAGAAATTTAAACATCATCAAATATCCAGAGTTAAATTGAAACCACCCTCACAGGGTTTTAAACAAAGTTCTGAAATCGATTATTAGCAAACGGGGCATCTCCCCAAACCAGTGTTCGCATTTCTCAAATCATAGGTAATTTAGAGTTCGAAATCCAAGATCATAATTACCCAGAGTTCAACATGAAGACAAAATTAATCATAATATAACAGCAAAGCGGAAGCTACACAATAAGGTCCGGTCAAACGACCGACCACCACTCGTCTCTTACCGCCATGCAGCCGCCGGCTCAACCTGCATCCATGAAGAGCAGGTGGGGATGAGAACAGATGGAATCCGTTGTGCTCACCGCTATGCGCATGAACAGATATAATAAGGGAGTACAAAAAGTAAATAGGGCATGGTCACAAGTATGAACATAGACAATAATTTTCCCATCTCCTATCCAGAGTCGATTACATCTCATGTGCACACCTATCAGAATAGACTACATTTGGTCAACGTGTCGTCTCCCCGTGGGAACTCTAACGTTGCCGAAGTAGGAGGGTCATCCGTCAACCCCGAGGGTTTTAGACGAAAATCCACTATCAACTCCAAGGGTATTAGACAGGTCTGCCAACCCCGAAGGTTTTAGGCAGTAATTCCATCACCGACCAAGGCTCATGCCAAGGTCCTTGCGAAGGACTAAGAGGAGATTACCCACTCGGGGTACGTTCTATAACTACGGGGATACCGTTCGACGGCCAGTACAGCTCACGCCGAAAGTTACACATTCACATTTCATACTTTGATCATACCCAAGTAAGTAAACAAATTTCACAGTTCAAGGCATAGACAATTTTATAAGTAACCCACCTGGATTCCGGATTGATAACAGCAAAAACAGTAGAGACGTAGGTTGAGGCTAGACTCCTCAAACACCTACATTGATTCAAGGTTCTAAGATCAATACCTATCTTGACCTTAGAAGAAATTCACAAGTCATACTTGGTCGAACTTGATTCAACCAAGTCGTTCGTGAAGTCCTGTGGATGTTGGAACTCTAGTACTTAGACTCGAACAACCAAAACAAGGGAGTTCACGTGAATATCACATAACAGATAGTTCAAACAAGTCACAACCTCAACAAGAAATCCGGTTTAAAAGATTTTTGCACAAAACCTCAATTTTGAGAAATAGAAGACGATAAATCACATAATTAGGTTGATCAAGATTTTGAATGACTTAAGGTTCTGAAACTTTAACATAAAATCATCCTCTTTGAAATTAGTAAAACCACCAAGTTTCAGCCCCAAACTCATTATACAAAATTTTATAAAATTCCTACAATTTACCAGCAAAAACAAACATAGATTCCACAACCAGACCTATTGAACGAATTTATACTTGATATTTTTACGGGAGCAACTACAGCAGGTAAGGACAAACATATAAAAATTCCAGCAATTAACATTAAATATACAAATTATGAAAATTCATACAAAATTCAGCAGTTTTCGAATTATAAATAAAACCGAAACATTTTGAACTCCAAAAATTCCAATCTTTTTACAGCATGAAACTACACATAAAACAAGCACCTCAGCCAAAAATCAGAATTTTTGAGCAACTGACCAATTTATGATAATTAAAACATCTTTCAACAAAAACCGTAAACAAATTATTTACCCTATCAATATCAGTCCAAAAATTCTAAAAATTTTATACAAGGTATAGATCAGACAGAGAGATAACATATTAAAATTTTATCAATTTTTTGGGCATGGACCGATTTATTATGAATTTAACACGTTTCTACCCAGAAATCACTTTAATTTTTAAAAAATAGCTACAAACCTCATAAAATTACGAAATTTTTACACAAGCTATAACATCAATAGAGGCAATTACAGTTAGAATTTCATAGCAATCGGATCAGTGTAAATTTTTTAGTGAATTTTATACTCAAAACGGCAATTTCGAATTTTGAAAATTCATAATTCCAAATTCACAAGTCCAAACGACACAAAGCCAACACCATTGTGTTCTTATCGATCCTAGGTCCTCAAATCCACAGCAACTTGACATTTTTAACGATTTCTCGTTCGATTCGCACGAATCGACGAGATTCACATAAAATCACATTAATAATATACATATATATATCATCGACATAGTCTCTTGTAAAATCAACATCAAAGAGCACATGAATTCACAAAGCACAATTATAGCATTAAACGAATATGAATTTAATCAACAAAGGGTCAAGGCTCGATACCGTTCTCGGGAAGCGAGCGAGAATGGTTCGAACGGGTTGACGGGACGTCGGGCTCGACGGTTCCACGCGTCTCGCCGGAAAAATAGGAGTAGCGGCGACTGTCCTCGGCGGCTTGGTCGCTGCGATGGACGAGGGCGGCTCGTCGGAAGTGCTGCTGCGGAGGAGGAGAGCTCGCGAGTGGTGCAGGGGCTCACCGGCGAAAGGGCAGCGGCGGACGTCTGCTGCAGGGAAGGTGGTCGCAGCGTGGCAGGGAGTCGCGGCGTGAGGGGGTCTCTGGCCGCAGCGTGGCGGGGCTCACGGCGTGAGGAGGTCTCTGGTCGCGGCGTGCGGGGCTCACGGCGTGGCGGGGCTGCAGTTCGCGGGCAGAGGATCGCCGGGAAAAGCTCTCGATCGCGAGGAACAACAGTGACCGAGAACTCACGATCAGGAACAAGCCATGAGCAGCGAAAATATGCCGGAAAGCGTCGAACGGGCTTGGACCTGTGGTATCACGATCGATGATGATGGTGATCGAAGGCTATAGACTCACGAGAGAGAGACGGAAAATCTAAATAAAGGGTGAGAAGGAGATTTTTCAGCTGAGGGTTTGCGTGGGAGAGAGCGAGAGAAAAAATTAGGGTCTGCGGGTTTTAATTTTTGCTGAGGGTCACGCACTTATGTAGAAGTAAGGTTTGGTTTCTTAACCCTCAAGACACTCCTCACACATCCAACTTATTCACACGCACACACGCACGAGGGGGAGGAAATCGGGTCGGTTGGCTGGGTTCTCGGGCTCGGTTTTACGTTTCGATTTAGCCAAAATAAAATGGCTCGGCAATTTAAAATAAAATTCGGCTATTATTATATATATATTACACACATAAAATTAATAATAATATCATTAGCATTTAAACATTTAATGACATTTAAACAAATAATAATAATAATAATAATAATAATAATAATAATAATAATAAAAGCAATAATAATTTAAATAATTCCCAAATATTTTACAAATAACGGGGCATTACAAATTTGTTCAAGACTTTTATTTTCATAAGTTCCGGCGACCAGAGCCACCGCCTTCAATCGCCGGAGTCACCACATCGCCGTCGTGAACCGTCGTTGGAAATCGCCCGCAGCTGCGCCCAGTCGCATGCAGCCGCGAGCCAAAGTCCGCAGTCGCACGCCGCCCATTCGCGGCAGCAATCCCCAGCGATGATATCGCGGCCCGCATGCTCTGCTTGCATTCCGCCACCCGAGATCCTCGCGCATCTACTCCTCACAGGATTAGGAGACATTTGCGCACGCCGAGATCCCAGCAGCGTAAGCTAGTCGCCTGCACCCACAACGCATGCTAGTCACCTCGTGTTCGACTGAGAAAGGCCATGTCTGGTTGCCCAGCGGACACTGCGGTTCAGACGATCTCCTATAATAGAAATCATAAACGTTTCAGAGTCAGCAAAAATTTTAAATGGTAATGTCCTAATTCTAACTATAGATTCCGCTTCGTTATGATTTATTTTGATATATTCAAATAAGCTTATTGTTTTATGTTCCTAATAGAACCCATCTTCCTCGAGCTATGACGCAGAGATTCAGACGCTTTTTGACCGGTTTTCAGGCTGATGCCTCTATCTCTACTCACATTTGGATTGAGCTGGATGTTGTCGTTGTCGCCACCCTCTTAACATCAGGACACTAGGGTTCATGGCAGATCCAGCATCCGCTCATGCGCATCAGATCCGCACTCCAGTCGGTACGCCACCGGATCTCGCAAATCTTTTAAGAGGGGAACCGACCTATTGATTTCGTAGCCAACATCGGTGCCTCCATTCTCCAGAGATGCATTTTTGGCCTGGACGACACCCCGCTTCACCTTCGCAGCCTTGTGCGGATGGACTAGGACAGTTACCCCTCTTTTATATTTCGGTAGCCTTTTAGTTTTTTGTGCAACTTTTTGTTTTCTCGGATCATTTTGTGGCTCAGACTGCTCGTCTGGGCACCTCCAGCCCATGTTCAGACT